GGGCGCTTTTACCCTTGACACAGAGCAGAGTTTCTCTGGAAAATTTTGGTAACACTCCCATACAGATCGGACAACACAGTCCGGAAACAGGGGCCATCTTGTGACCTCAGAAAAACGCTAAAAAGAACAAAAAGTAAATTCCGCGAATTGGGTCGTCTCTGGCGTAGACCAGGAGAGTCTCGATATAAAACTGCTTCCGTACAAAACTTGCCCCATTCATTGGGCTTCGAACGAGCCCATTTTGGTACGTATCGGACGTACGTCTGCGGAGCTATGGATTTTTAACCGCGGCCATGTTCGCGAGCGCGCAGCTCCTGAGTTTGACGTTTCGCGAGCTGTGGCTGGAAAACGGTAGGACCTATCGAAAAAATTCTTTCACAGGCGGATGCCCCGACTCAGCGCGAACGTTTTGAGCCGTATGCGGTCGCATTCGGTGTTGATGAAAAATTCAAAATTTTCAAAAATTTTTCAACTTTTTTTTCTTCGAAAGTAAATTTTTCCTGTACACTTAGGTACGGGCCAAGGAAAACTGATTGCACCATTAGATACTACGCAATCTTTTACATACATGCACCATTTCAAAGTTTACCCAATTCTCTTTATCTCCAAGAAATTCAAGGTGCTCTTTTTTATTCTCATACAATTTTGGTTATTTTCGCGTTTAGCTGTGCCGCGAGGTTGTTTTTTGACGCTGCACTAGAACACTGATTGCTCCATTAGATTCCACGCCCTTTGTACATATCTGCACCCTTTTAAAGTTTACCCAGTCCTTTCCATCTCCAAGAAATTAAAGGTGCGCTTTTTTTTTCATTTTTTTTATCAATTTAAATTCAAAAATGCGTATAACACCGAAACGAATTTTTCATTTCAGTTATTACTATTTGTTGTAATTGTTATTCTATAAATAAATTCGTAATCATTAAATGATATAGTCTTTTCTATCAATTACTTTCTATTTTTATTTATATTATTCGGTTTTTTTAATTAAATATTAACAGCGA